CCCCCCCGCCGTGATGGTCAGATGCGGCGGCGTTGGGCATAACGCAATCGCTCGCCGCGCCCGCAGTGCAATAACATAACGCGTTTGCGGGCATTTTGAAAAACGACCCCGCGGGTCCCACACATCGCTGGCGCGGCGAATATCACACCGGGTCGTTGAAATGATATTTTGTCAACGTCTTGCCCCCAATCATGCGTGCGTGATAGGCCACATCTCGACGCCGCGCCTGGGCGAATTTGTAGCAGCCCGAGAGGCGAGTGTCAACATGGCACCCGTCGGATGCGGGTATCCGCCTGCGGTGCGCCCTCCCTGCCCTGCCCTGCCCTGCCTTGCCCTCCCCCGACCCAAATGCGAGGATGCTCCGCACCCTTGGCGCCCGCCACCGCCGCGGAGTCGCACCCGGAGCGCGCGCCACATGATGAAAGATGGATCACGGATCTGCCTCCGTGCCCGCTGCCCGTCAGTCGTCGAGCACTTGCCTGTCGCGGCAGCCCCGGCGGCGGCGGCGGCGGGCGCGCGACGCTCTCTGGACCCTGGCCCGTGTCCGGCAGCAATGTGCAGGCAGGCAGGGCGGCGGCATCCCGCCAGCCCTGACGCACGCGCGCGACGGCCCTGCGAACGTGCGGGCTCCCGGGCAGGCCGTGGCCACACGCAGAGGGAGAGTGGTCCCGATCGGTCGCCGGGGTCCCGGCCCCAGCGGACGGTGGAGCAGTGCGCTGCCGCAGACGCATCGGGGCCCTGGGCTGGAGATAGACGCAGAGAGATCCGCCCAGTGCGTCGAGTCCCCCTCCACCCCGGGGTGGGGCTGGGCCGCCGAGGCCGTGCAGCCGGTGGGTGTGTGTGCGCGCGCGCGGGCGTGATGGCCCGAGGACTCGACGGAACAGCGCACGGGCTCCTCCTGCGAACGCAGCCTCGCCCGCGCCCAGGCCCCCCGCGCGCGCGTCCGCGGAGTAACTCACGCCCGCGTCCCTCGCCCGCTCCGCTCCTCGCTGGCGGAACGCTGGCCGTGCGTGCGCACAGCGGCAGACACACGCTGCACGTCGCTGATCCCGTCCCTTGGCCTAAACCGCTTCCGTCGCGTCCGCCCGCAGGCCTGCGTCCGAAGCACGGGCCCATCGGGCCAGCGATTAGCCTCCGTGCGCACGTCGTCCCTCGAGGCGATCAGCGAGCCTGGGCCCCCACCGCCGAGCCCGGCGACCGGCGACCACTGGCCCACCGCGACCCTGGCACCGCGCGCGACGCACGCGGCTGCGGTCCCAGCCAGCCTACCTGCCTGCCTGCCTGCCTGCCAGGGCTGTCGTCGATGGATCCCAGCCGCCGTCATCCCGCAATCTCCGTGGCTGCTCCCAGTGATGTGTGTGTGGCGGACGTGGGGACACTGGCATGCTGCCAGCGGTGTGCGCACCGCAGGCAAGGGTGGGGAGCACAAGGGTCCGTCTCGACTTGGCTCGCAAGGACGGTCGCCCGAGATACCCGCCGGGGGCTGAACAAAAGAGAAAAAGAAAAAGAGAGACGCACCGAGGACACGGCCAGCGACCGAGGCGCGCCTGAGCAGTCCGATCCCACGTCCGAGCACGCGTGAGAATGTATGTATTTCACAAAGGCGCCCTCCATTGACAGCCTCGTCCCCAGTACAACAGACATGCGGCTCGCATTGTCCCATGGTATAGTAATTACACAACAAGGCGGATAAACCAAACCAACGCCCGCGCCGTCGCACCCCCCCCTGCGCGCGCGCGCGCCTCGGCGACTGCCATGAGAAAGTGAGAGGGATAAGGAAAGACTAGTCCGTGCATCTATTAAATTACTACGAGTGAAGATGTAAGCTGGAGCATATCGGAATATAATGAATGTGGGTGCAGCGGGCCCAGCGCGGCCTCTCCGAATCCCCCTATGCCATCTTGCGGCGGCGAATCATGAACCTGCGAACACACACCCACACACACACACGTCAGCTGCCTGCGTACACGCTGTGAGACCCGTGCAGAGGGGGGGGGGCTGCTTACGACGAGTTGATGTTCGGGCTCGAGTTGTACTGGAAGATGATGTCCGGCAGCCTGCCTTGCGGGCTCGGCTTGATATCGTAATGCGTGACGAGGTGCGCCATCGTCGCCTTCAGGATGTACGCGGCGAGGAACCGCCCGGGCTGTCAGATACAAGTGCCCTCCCGTTAGCCTGGAAGCTCTGTCACCAGCACCACAATCAGATACATACGCTGTGTGCGTGGACACGAACATCAGTGCCCAGATAACACAACGCACACGCACAACACGCACCATGGATATTTCCCGTGCCCAAAGATGAGATAACGCGCGTTCGTGCGGATCAGCCCGCTGCTGTTGTTGGCCTTCCCCCCGGCCGCACCGCCATCCTGCAGGTGCCGGAACCCGTCAAACGTCGCCGCATCCGGGTAGTACTCCTCGTCATAGTGCACAGAGTACGCCGAGGAGATGTAGTTCCCTGATGGAACCAGCGTCCCGTCCGAGAACGTAATGTCCCTCAACGCCTTTCTCGGAAAGCTCACTGTCACACCCTGTCAGCGCATGCTCGCACTCGGCCCGGAAGGGAATATAGCCTCACTCGTTCCCAGCGCATTCATCCGCGACGACTCTTTCAGGAAGCTGTCGGTCTTCACCAGCTGATTCATCGCCTGTTTCGTCCAGCCGTGCGCCCGGATCGCCGACTCGGCTTCCTCCCGGAGGGGCTCGAAGTATTCCGGGTGCGATAGAAGGTTATTCACGGCGTTCACGAACGACTGTCAGTCTGCGTCAGAAGACCCGGGCATGTGAAGGAAAGAAGGATGCCGATAATTACCGCTGCCGTCGTGTTGATTGTGGCAATGTTCAGCACGAGAATGCGCGCAGCGAGGCGCTCTGGCTCCCTCTCTTCGCCCTCTGCCGCGTCCATCAGCCACATCAGCATGTCGTTCTGTTTGTGCAGGACATGCGTCAGCCCCACGGACGCCACATCTCTGCCGAGAAACCCACCGGCTTGTCCGCCCAGTTCGCACCGTACTCTGCCATGGCAGAGTGGCGTTCTGCAATCACAGGGCGCAGGTGCGCGAGCGCACGCTTCACCAGCGACGGCAGGCGCGTGATCAGCCGACCAACGATCCTGCATACCCCCAGTCAGCATCGGGCTGCGGCACAGCCGAAAGGAGTCTCTTACGGGCGCATGAACGAGGGGAACAGGTTGATGATGAGCCCAACAACGGCAGTTTCTATTGCGAACGATTTGCAGACTTCCGTGTACTCCGGGCTGCGGCCTGCATCACCTGTCAGAAGGGGGCGGAGGAACGCACACGTCCGGTGCTGGAGACACTCACAGGTGGGAGCGCCGACGAGGATGCGGTTGAACGTGCGCGCGACGACGCCGACGAACGCGTCAAACGAGTTGAGCTCCTTCCACGAATCTGCAGGGCGTGAGACTGCCATCCCACCCGCCGGGTACCTGACCACGTACCGCCGCACTTCTTTGCAAACGTGTCGTCCATCGCCCTGATCAGCTCGTCCAAGCACTCGGCGACCAGGACGTCGATGTGGCGCGTCAACTGAGGGGGGGGGTGGGTTCTGTCAGACACGACCATCACGAGGAAGCAAAGATGAACGACACCTTTGATCTCATAATGGGAAGGTGATATGGGTTGTCATGGATTTGCTGACCCATGGTGTATGGCACCTGCAGTTCCTATTCAAAGCGGTTCAGATGTCATCGTGGTTGGCGGACACGGAGCCCTTCTCACATCATGTGCGGCGTATCTTAATGACAGAACGTCGTCAGGAAGGTGGTACATCTCGTCGACTGATAGGCACCGTCAGCCGTGGAGCCCCCGGTGGATGTAGACGAGATGAACGTACTGCACTGCTCCTTCGTCACGATGTAATTCCAGTTCGTCCATAGTGGCAGACGAAAGAATTTGCCCTTGAACTGCGCAAATGGTTCAGCCAGATCCGGAGGAGCAAAACGCGGCGGGCCTCACTTTCTGGTAGCCCTCGTCGACCATCCGCTTGGAATCAGCAAAGAAACGAATAGCTCCCACATATGAGCCAAGCCAATGGGGGTACCCAACGGGAGGTATCGCATTCTACCAAACGTCAGGAGCGCCCGACCACGCGTCGATCCACGATGAACGCACCTTGCTCGTCAAGAAGGACACGACGTAGTAGACAACAACAATGTTGACGACGACACAAGCAGCTATTGTCGGGCTCTCCAGGACCGCGCTCCGCATGCCGGAGATGAAACCTGCGACACTGGCGGAGGGGCGCCCGAGGGAGTCTTCTGAATACAGAGACGTCGGGAGCACGGGGAACCTGTTGAGGGTGATCGACATGGTGCGGAGGTGAGGTAGCGGCGCAGTGCGCAACGAGGCATACTTATACTCTGAGACGGGCTGCTCCACTATTGGTTTTCCAAGTATCGCTGTGACATGCATTTTCCGCATCGGTTCTCGTACCTGGACGGAGTCTGCGTGCATGGCGTCCTAGACCCGCCTTGCAGTCATCAGTCACGACTTGACAGGCATTATCCCAACCGAGATTAATGGCTCCTTACCTCCGCAGATAACGCGTCCTGGCTTCTGTGTCAGAAAAGTCCAGAACTATGGAACAGACGCCGCTGAGAACCAGAATCGAGGCGAGGCGCTTGTGCCGGGGACACTGCAGGTTCGGAGAACTGATACGGATCCGAGTTGAGTGGACAGCCCGACCGCTGCCATAGGCCTTCCAGGGTCGGTGAGCTCGAATAAGCGGCGGTGGAGTTTGAAATACTCTACGTATTTGTATTTCTTCGTCCATGCGGCAACTGCGGGGGGTGTAACAGCCCGCATGCCGGCCGCAATCCGCAGACCCCCACAAGAACTCTGAGCCGCTGTGCAGCCCCAGAGACTACGCAGTTGTCAAAGAGCGGCATAACCACGCGCGCCTTCCTGAGCCCGTGTTCCGATTTTCAATCGTGGATTGGGAAGGTACCTTACCATGCGGGTACGCGCGAGGGAAAATGGGTCGTCGATTCGCTCCTGCCAAACGAGCCGGCAGGATCGCACCGCGCACGCATGTTGCGTCAATACAGGCGTCAAGGCTCCCGGGGACTGCCACAGTCCGCTGGCATGGAACTGTCCTCCTAGCCGATCTGATGACGTCGAGGTGAGTCTGCACGGTGTGCGTTGGAGACGATCGAACTTGGAACCCGTCGAGAAACGGCTGAGAGCTTGGTGGAAGGAATCGGTCAGAGAAAATTAGAGTTGAGTTTCCTCGGAGGTTGTCCAAATTGGGCATGTGCGCTCGTCCAGCACTGCGTTGCATAATATCACATATCCGTGGGACTGTGCGAGGACCGGCTATATATTATATTCGTGGAGTATAATGTCAGTGAAAAACCTCGAGGCATCGCTGATAACTGATAATCAACGGAAGTCGAAGTTCTTCGAGGCAATTGTGCACATGCAATGGAATGGGAAAGGTTACAGCACTGCATACAATACAGAGGAATCCAGACCTGCCATACATTGTCCTGGCATACTTAGCTTGTATAGCTGCGATCTGGCATCTGTCAAGTCTAGGCAGCGTAAATTGCGCCGTTCCCACTCGTGAGGCTGCCAGGCTCGCGGATCGAGCACGAGCGAGTGAATCTCTGACAATTATGAACAAATATCCGATACGGACTGGATACGGACGTCGGGTAACCATGGAATGCTTACATAAGCTCGTCACATAACCTCAAGCGTTTAGGCGAATCGATCCTTTCGTCGATTGCAGCTGGACCAAGTGCCGAGCTTTCGCCGTCAGTGCGCCACTTTGATTGCAACAGCTGCCGAGCAGGAAAGAGTCAGAGACAAAAATGCAAGGATCCGTATAAGCTTGCACACAAGCTGCCAATGGCTTAGCGCGAGCAGGGTCACCCCTCTCAGCAGGGAAGCATTTGGTATCAGATATTTCGGTTGAGAAAATCTGTCAAATGGTCGGACAGTGAATTCGTGTGTGTATCTACGTCAGGTCTGCTGGACATGGAGATTACTATTTTGAACGCACATCTTCGATGGGACTCCAGTGAATTCAGTATCCAGTAGGCGCCGCGGCATTGCTCATGGTTCAGAACTCAGGGTGGGGGATGCTCGATATTTAGCGAGTTTGGCATTCTACAGCAAGAAATACATTGGCATACCTTTTGTCGTGACCCATCATTGTTTGAGATCCCACCAGGGAGCTTATCAAAGAAACATTACACCGTCAAGCAAATATGACTGCCAACGTCGGTGTGTTTACACCTTGTTTAAAAGACGCATCAGTACTAGGTAGGACAAGTCAATCAAGGATACTTACCAATGTTTATCATGCCCCTAGTGCATTTGCTCGCCCTACGTCGAATGATTCATCTTAGTATGCAGATCTCAGAGGCATAGCCTGGGAACCTCGCAGATCACCTTATCAAAACTCACACGAATTTCTAAAAAAGGATATGCCGTATAACTTGCCGGCAGAGCATCCCACAGAGGCTGGTCTTGACTGTTGGAGTAAGGTGCCGCCTTGGCCCTGTCAAAGGATACTTTCATGCGATTTGTGGAGCATCATAAGGCACGTACTCTGCTGTACAAGCAACTCCAAGCAGCCCTTCAGTTTCCACCACAAACGAATTTGACGCTGAGACTGGTCAGCGGATAGCCGATGGAGAGCATGCGAGTCATCGTTCACGAACGCACCTGCCCCACAAGGCGCATCTGAGCCATATTGCGGGAAGCCGATCATCGCAAGAAAAAGTTACACATATACAAGACACTGGGTGCATGGCCTTGGGGCCGTCGCCGAGGTCAAATCGGAGGCTTGGTACCATGAGCGTGGAGGGAATGTCTGGCGAAATGGAATATCCGAAATGTCACGTATGGAGAAATTTTGTGGCCATCGTTGGGCTGGAGAGATACCTTGCTGTATGCAATAGTGGCTCAGGTGAGAATTTACGAATAATTGGACCCGACCAAAGCAAACACGTGTCAAGATCTCGTGAAGTACGAGTCCACATCTAGACAAACGAAATCTTACCGGGATGGGAGGGCCAGACCGATCCCATGGTCTGAACCCGGTTCTCACTGAATCAGAATAGAATTTGCGATCATATACCGCTAAGCTACGGGTAACATAGGGTGTAGGCGTCGAAGTCAGCTGAAAATCGTCAGCTTTCGTGGGACTATTCGGAAGACGAATAGAGAACAACACACTGACTTGCAAACTCTGCGCTGGGAAAGTCACGGCGCCACGGAGATAAAGCGCCAAAATTTCCAGAAGCGTTACAGTAATGCTCGCGGGTTCTTCGTTATTGCTTACTTAGCCAAGCAATCTAATAAGAATCTGCTGTAGCATGGTGCTAGATGACCCATCCTCCAGACGAGCGGAGAGATGTCATCAGGTCTAGAGCATGCATCAAATGGAGAGCGCTTAGCTGATGCCAACGCTACCGTACTACATACAACACCCATCAGCCGGATACTAGATTTCCGGCAGCACTGCCACACGGATTACCGTGACTAAGGCTGAAAAATCTTCTTGCTGAAAAATGTTCTGGTGAGAGATTGAACCAGCATTATGATAAGATCTACGGGGAGTTTGCGTCGCAAACAGCGACCAATATCCGTCGTAGGTTCCTGAAATCAAGATGAGAGCGTCAGGAGTGGAGCCGTATGGCTAGCTAGTTTCCGAACGTACATTGTGGCCGCTTCCAAATTTATTTAAGTCCTGTAAGTGGGACATTGTCAGTCATCATGGTATCTGCGCCCCCAGGAACAAGGAAATAGTGCGTGAAGCACTAAGTGGAGTATCAATGTCAAAGAAAGTATCCTCATCGGTGTGCTCGGGTTCCTAGCACTAGTGGTTTGCCAACTTAGGCCTAGTAACTCTTTCGCAAGATAATCTATGTCCGCACTCTATGCGCTATCGGTGGGCGACCACACGCCGTTACCATTGCTGAGTTCATAGAGACAAGCCAAGACAGTTCGTTTTACGAGCGTGAGATAGCGCTCACCTCGATCGAGTCCATGGCAAAATGCGACTTGATTGTGGCGCGTCTTTGATAACCGTTCCGACTTGTCCGGTCCGTCCGACTCTAAAGGCAGTCTTCCGCGTCCATAGGTAGTCACAAATCAAGTCTCATTGAATCCCTGAGGATGTCAGGAATCGCAACGTTGTAATTACTAGGTAAAATACTGGAAGAATGCTATATTCGGAAACGCCACAAATTAGAATGTAGAGGACAACGGGTACAGAGAAACGACATGACCTGAGTTCGCAAAAAGAACCCCTGCGTAACGAAAGCACTCGCTGAGAACGCAGATCCGTTTGATAGGTCTGAGCATTGTAGGCATTGTTTAAGTGTTACTGATCAGCGTCGTACTAGAAGGTGTATGTCAGTCGTCATGACTGCCTTTTGAAGCAAGACGCGAGACGGCAGAGTCTAGCCCGTGTCTGTTTAGTTCAATGATACGACTTTTCGGAAGCTGTGCGGCCCATCAAGACATATTAGATGGGCGCTCCGAATGTATCCGTATTTCATTAGAGGCATTGAGCGGTTTGATCTAACTGAACTGTCAGAAAAACCCAATCCAATGGCGCACCTCTGCGAATAACACGAAGACGCCCGTCGGGTCCGAAACATTTGTTGAAGATCCGCCTGCGTTGGACGTCAAATAAATCGTCTACTAGTAGGCTACATATTGGGGTGTTCGCAGGCTCCTGCCCATCCGATCTCCAGGAGGAGAGGGACTTCATCTTGCCAGCGGGTTTTTTGCAGCCACATACCACGTGAACTTTTGATGATTTTTCAAACTCCACAATCTTATTTCCCTTGTCCTCCCTATGATGGCTGGCAGAAAACATGTGCAAATAATGGAGCCTGGAAGTGCCACACCCACTTTAGATAGTTGTGAATATAATGGACACTCAGGAATTACTAGGCTCATTTCATTATTGAAGTGTAATCACAATCTATGAACAGCCATATAGCTGTGTGTTTGCAGATTCTGTGCTTATGGTGAACTTATTAAGATATATACTCAATACCTTGCTACAACAGCAGATATGTCATGTGATGACTCATGGTGACTGCCTCCTAGATCCTAAACCTAACCCTAAATGTTCTACTCACTGGTGGGAGTCTCAGTAAAGGGCTTGATATGGTTTACTGTAGAGGATGGCTTTAGATGAAGCAAGTAAATGACTATAACTAGTCTGGCCCAATCTGGTGCAGACCTACTGGCTTATATACATGGAGGGTAAGCCCCCCTAATACTGTAAGACAAGACCCCTGGTACTTGAGCTAGCTACACTATTGGTTATCTACTAGCCCCTG